GTGTGTATGTGTGCGTGTATGCGTGCGTGCGTGCGCGCGTGCGCGTGTACGCGCGTGCGCGGTTTGGCGTGTGTACGTGTGTGCGTGTGTGCGTGTGCGCGTGTGCGCGTGTGCGTGTGCGCGTGTTGGCGTGTGTACGTGTGTGCGTGTGTGCGTGTGCGTGGTGCGTGCTGTGTGCGTTGTGTGTGTTCTGTGCTCTGTGGGTGCGTTCCGTGATGTGCGTGCGTGCGGCCGAGCGTGCGTGCGTGTTAAATCTTGACCTAGTTGCGCGGCGTCGTCAACTGCGTTGCCCGTGCGGCACAGTCTGCGGCGTGTGTTGCGTTGAGTGGTGTGCTCGGTGGTTGTTAGGGTGAGCGTGCGCGGCGGGGCCTGCGCAGCGCCTGCGCGTTTGCGCAGTGCGCAGCGATGCGGAGTCGCGGCCCGTTGAGTGAGGTCCCCGTGGCGTAGTGCGCGTGCGTCCCCCTGCGCACAAGTCGTGCGCGCGCGTGCGCGTCTGCGTGTGCGCGTGCGCGTGCGTGTGGGTGTGTGGGGGGGGAGTGTGGGGGTGTGGGGGTGTGGGGGTGTGGGGGTGTGGGTGCGTGGGTGCGTGGGTGCGTGGGAGCGTGGGTGCGTGGGTGTGTGGGTGCGTGGGAGCGTGGGTGTGTGGGTGTGTGGGTGTGTCTGTGGGTGTGTGGCGGGGTGTGTGTGTGGGTGTGTATGTTTGTCTGTGCGTGTGGGTGCGTGTGTGTGTGCGTGTGTGTGCGTGTGTGTGTGTGTGCGTGTGTGTGTGTGTGCGTGTGCGTGTGTGTGTGTGTGCGCGCGCGTGTGTGGTTTCGTGTGTGTGCGCGTGTGTGTATGTGTGCGTGTGTGCAAGTGTGTGCATGCGTGCAGCGGCATGTAGACGCGTGTCTCATGTACGTGCCGTGCATGCGTTGCGCGTGGGTGGGGTGAGAATGAAAGAGGAGGAGGGAGGAGGGAGGAGGGAGGTGTGAGGAAGACGCGGGCGCGACGCTGGTGGGAAGAAAACCAGAACCCCACGAAACACGTGGGGAAGAAAGCCAGAACCCCACCGAGCATGTGGGGAACCAGAACCCCACGCCGTTTGTATGTGTCAGCGCTAGCGCAAGTGAGCAGGGGAAAGAGAGGGAGGAGGAGGAAGAGTAGGAGGAGACGCGAGCGAGACGCTGTGTGTGCATGTGTCTGTGTGTCTGTGGGGATGAGGTGATGAAGGAGGTGAAGTGTATGTGGGAGCGTCGCGGGTGGGACGCGCGAGGGAAGAAAACCAGAACCCCACCAAGCATGTGGTGAATAAAAATTCGAAAAGTGATCAAAAATATCCCGAATAATCTATTAGGATAATCGTCCCCATCTTATTTTTGACTATTGGGGATATTCCTCCAGTAGGGGGGCATGCCCTACTCAAGGCCGGGCGGCCAGGGGCGCCGCGCCTCCACGGCCAGGCCGTGGGCGGCGATGGACCGCTGGCGGAGCACCTCTCTCGCGATCGGCGGGCCAGGCAAGGGAGCGGAGGAGGGAGGAGCGAGGAGGTAGGGGACAGGGAGAAAGGGGCCCAGGGACACACAAATAGAGAGACACAAATCCTAGGATTCTCCATGCTTCCCTATATTTTCTAGGTTGTGCTTCGTCTTCCCCCCCACTTCTCATAGTTTCCCATCTCTTTTCTGGGGGATCGGCGATTAATTGTGTCTCTGTTTTTCTCCCTCCTGAAGGGAGGAACGCCGAGAGAGAGGGGGGAACAGGGCTGAACCTAAGCAGTGTTTTTCGTTTTCTTGTGTTTGTTCGTTCTGCCTCGTTTTGCCTTCGCTTCTCGCCTTGAGTGCAAAACAGACAGAAAAACATAACGGCCCACGAGTTGGCCAAAACACCGTGCAGGTCCAGCCCTGGGGGGAAGGGGAGGAGGGAGGAGGGACGGAAGGGCAGGCGGGAGGGAGGACGGAGGAGGAGAGAGGTTCGGCGGCGAAGGAGGGGGGAAGTGGGAAGGAGAAGGCCTCCTCAGAGGGCGGCGGCTTCTACAGAAGCTCTCGCGCCTGCTGAGGAGTCTCTTCTGCGTCTCCGGAGGAGGCTCCGAGCACTTCTCGGAAGGGTGGGGGACTTTCCAAGCCTTTCGAGAAGGCCCTCTCCTTCTCGCTTTCGCCCCCTGGGCTCGCCGCCGATCTTGCCGGCGCGCGAGGGCGGGCGGGGTAGAGGAGAAGGGGGGGGGATGGGAGATGGGGCACAAAAGTTTGGTCGGGCATGTCCTCCTGCAGGCAGAGCTTGGGCGCGAAAAACAATCAAGAGTCAAACAATGCTCAAGAATAGCCAAAAATGATGGAAAATCGTTGAACACTTTCGGATACTCCTCCTGTAGAGGGACATGCCCGACTAGCCTGGATGCACCCTGGCTTTCGCGCACCCTCTCGGGCACAACCCGTTTCCCTCGCGCGCGCCCTTCCCGCGCGTCCTCCTCCTCCTCCTCCTCCTCCTCCTCCCCTCTCCTCCTCCTCCTCCTACTCCTCCTCCTCCTCCTCCTCCTCCTCTCTCCTCCTCTCCTCCTCCTCCTCTCCTCCTCTCCTGCTCTCCTGCTCCTCATCCCTCCTCCTGCTCCTCCTCCTCCTCCTCCCTCCTCTCCTCTCCTCCTCCTCTCCTCCTCCTCTTTCTCCTCCTCCTCCTCTCTCCCTCCTCCTCCTCCTCTCTCTCCTCTGCTGCCTCCCCTCGCCCCCTTCCTCATCCTCCTCCTCCTCCTCCTTTCCTCCTCCTCCCTCCTCCTCCTCCTCTTTTCCTCTTCTCTCCTCCTCCTCCTCCTCTCCACCCTCCTCCTCTGCTCCTTACCTCCTCCGTCTTCCTCCTCCTCTCCTCCCTCCTCCTCCTCCTCCTCCCCCCCTCCTCCTCCCCCTCCTCCTCCTCCTCCTCCTCCTCCTCCCCCGCTCCTGTCAAGTGCCCAATTAGGCCCCGCAACGCCCCTCGGTTGCCTCGACGCTGCGACAGCAGATTGTGGCGCCCCAAACCCAGATACTGTGGAGGCCCGAGCAGCAAAACCTTCCACAGAAACCCAATCCTGAGACCCCAGGACGTCCATTGGTTTTTGGTGTGGGAACGTCACGATTTCCACAACAAAACCATCGAAACCCACAAAACCCAGGGCACCCTGGAGGCAAGCAGGGTGTTTCTTGGCATGGGTCTCAACTGTAGCGCAGCAGTCCAAACCGCGTGAAAGCCTATGAGAGACGTTTGCAAGAACGCTTGACAAGATCTAGTAGGCAACCACTGGAGGTCTTCGTCGCAAGGATGAAAAAGAAGAAGCCCCGTTGGGATCAAGCGGGATCAAGCGGATCAAGCTGGGATCAAGCGGGATCAAGCGGGACCACTCCGGACTTGGCCGCGGATCAAGCGGGACCAAGCCAGATTAAACGGGATTGAGCCGGATTAAGCGGGGTGAAGCTGGATTACGCCGGATTTCAGACCAGGGCACAGTCACAATTTGACCTCCCAGGAGCTGCATCCGAAATAGGATGTCTGGGGAGCTTGCAGGCTCGAGAAAGGAGGTTCGAAGGAGCCCAGGGCGGGCTGCGAAGGAGCTGCGGAAGGGCTCGCGGCAAACGTATTGAGAGCGGGTAGGAAAACGTTTCTGGGACACTGCAAGTTCAAGCAAGCCGCTGCGGGGATTTTGGAGCGGCGCCAGAAAGAGTTCCGGGGCTACCCTGCACTGCTGGCGTCTAGTCTGAAACCCTCTTAGCTCTCTACGAAGTATGCGGAACAAAAAGCAGCATAGCGAAGCAGTCCAAGGCGCGTGAGAGGCCATGGAAGACGCGTGCAAGGACGCCTGCATGGATGTCTGGGGAGCTTGCAAGCTTGAGGAAGGAGCTTCGCAAGAGCTCAGGAAGAGCTTCGAAGGAGCTGCGGGAAGGCTTCCAGCAAACGTTTTGGGAACGAATCGCAAAACGCTTCTGGGACGCTGCGAGTTCTGGCGAGGCGATGCGAGGATTCTGGACCGACGCGGGAAAGAGCTCCGGGGCTACCCTGTGCTGCCGGCCTCCAATCCGAAACCCTTTTTTGCTCTCAGAGCGATATCCAGGAAAAAAGCATGTCTTGCCATTGCTCTCTCGTTTCGAAGAGTAAATAATGACAGGTACTTCCAGAGGTCCGCGTGGACTTCTTGAGTCGAGGCTGGGCCCCTCTCCGTGGCGCGCGGAGCGCGCCAGGGGCGGCGCCAGAGGCGCCGCCAGGGGGTTCCAGCGCAGGTCCACGAACTCCGCGCGTACCTCCGAAAGCTTGCATTTACTCAGCAGGGCAGGGAGGAGGAGCAGGTGGCGACATCCGAGCCCTACCCCCACCAACCATGGACTCTCCTGAATCGACGGGATGCGGGGGTTGGGTTCGCATGTCGCCACGTGCTCGACGAGTTCCGAACCCTACTCCCGCCGCCCATCGAAATGCCTGAATCGTTGATCGGCGAGGGTGGGGTTCGGATTTCGCCCCCGAGGAAGGGATAACGAACGAACAACACACACCCATACCCATAGGGGGGACGAGGGGGGCTATGGGTGAGTGTTGTCAGATGGGGGTCCCCGCTCGAACGGGAGCCTCCCCCGGAGTCCAACAACCCCCGCCCATAACCATAGCCAGTCCTCCTTCCTCCGGCCCTCCTATGGGCATGGGCGTCGGCGATACATCATCGATAGATCGGCGATGGGCCCCGCATAGTGGATCCGCACGCTTCTGGGCAGGTTTGGTCCATTGGGCCCTTATCGGCGATCAATGGGCGATTGAGTGTCGATGCATCCCCCCTCTTTGAGGCCTCCTAGATGGGGTCCGACTATATGGGGTCGGAGGATCGCGCCGCATCGTGGATGCATCGCAGATGCGTCGGCGATGCATCACCGCTGCATCGGCGACGTCGGCGATGCATCGGCGACGCCTGTATGAAGAAAATCGGGCTCCACATCCAGCCGCATCGCCGATGCATCGGCGATGCAGCGCGATCCTCGAACCCCATCTACTCCGACCCCATCTGAGAGGCCCAGGGGGAGGGGAGGAGGAGGAGGAGGAGGAGGAGGAGGAGGAGGAGGAGGAGGAGGAGGAGGAGGAGGGAGGCGGAGGAGGAGTGCCTCTCAGAAAGGATCGGAGGCCTCCAAGGAGGCGTCTCGGAGGGCGGGAGGGCCTCTGGACAGGAACCCCCCTGCCGTCTCGGAGGGCCACACCCCTCGCCCCAGCCCCCTCGGCGCGCCGCCAGACCTCCGTGTCCTTCAGGAGGCGCTTCGACACCATGGCGGCAGCCGCGCGCGGCTGAGACGAGCCGAAAACGACATACCACAAGATTCAATCGTCGTTGTCGTTTCGTCGTCGTCGTCGTCCGTTCATCGTCGTCGTCCTTTCGCCGTCGTCGTCCTTTCGTCGTCGTCGTTTCGTCGTTGTCGTCCTTTCGTTGTCCTCATCGACGTCGTCGTCGGTTCGTCGCCGTCGTCGTTTCGTCGTCGTCGTCCTTTCGTCGTCGTCGTCGCCGTCGTCGTCGTGGTCGTGGTCGTCGTTGTAGGTTCGTTGTCGTCGTCGTCGGTTCGTCATCGTCGTCGCTCACCATCCTGAAGGAATCCCGCAGCCTCGTGCAGCCTGCGGCAGCGAGGACGAGGACAAGGGCGGAGGATGAGACACGGAGGCGAGCACGAGGAGCTGCAGCAGCAGGGGCGGCAGAGTAACTGTAGAAGTTTGCCTCCTGCTCTGCCTCATCGGGACTCCATGGGCGATGGCCTCGAGTCCACGCCGAGATCAGCAGCACTTGGAGTCTGCAGCAGGAGCGGGATCGGGAGCACTGGGGGCTAGAGGACGAACAAGACGAGGAGGAGGAGGAGGATAAGGACAAGGAGAAGGGGGGGGAAGGAGGAGGGAGAGGAGATGGGGACGTGGAGAGGGAGGGAGGCGAGGGATGCATGGAGGCGTGGGAGGGTATGAGATGGAATGGGTACGGGCGGGTATGGGAGTCAGGACTCTGCGCCTCACAATCTTCCATCGATGGCTCAGGGCTCAAGCTCGGGACTCGGATTCGACCAGCAGGACTAAATAATAGCATTGTGGCAGCAGAGCTGGTCCTTCCGCGGACCTGAACGCCATGACCTTGCCCCCCAGATGAAGTACAACCCGAAAACTGGAAGATAGCACTGACAAGGTCGAAGGAGCCTCTCTCGTAATTGATGGCCACACTGTGGCCCTGTCAGACACCCGCGATCTGAGCCAGATCCCACACTTTGTGCATTGAGAGAAGTATCGGTGCGACCCCATCGTCATTCCTCACCGATGAAAAGAGCCAGCATCACTCGAGCGCGAGGAAGGTGGTGCCAGGCTGGCCTTCTGTACGTAAGTGGCTCTCTAGGGCACTCCTCTCCACTCGCGCCCAAAGGCTGGCACCACCGCCCTCCTCTTGAAGCTCCTCGGGCGCCCCGCCGCCCTCCGGGCGGTCTGCAGCGCCTGCAAGATGCGGAAGAGGGCCTCCAGGATGACCCAAGAAGACCACCGAGGCCCCCAAGGTGGCCCAGGGCTTCGGCAGAATCCTGCTCAGAGAACCGCCCAAAGACCACCAGGTGGCATCTTGAGCCGTCCTGGCCAGCTTGTCGAGCCATAACGTGCCCTCTTTCAGACTTCGGCTCGAGTCCATGGACTGCCCTTTTCTACACACTTCTCTGGAAACGAATCGGCACCAAAGCGAGGCCCGAAGAGACCGCAAGCGACCCTCTCGCGGCCACGTCGCACGTGACCAGCCTCGATCATATCCGTATTCCTAAGACCGACAAGCCCAAATGCGATGACAATCTCAGGGATGCGCCCTCAGAAACCGAGGGAATCCTTGAGATCGGCATCGAGATCAAGTGATGCCAATCATGGGTGGGGACACCAAAAGGTATCGATGCCGCCCGCTACCCCCTGGACCTCTGCCGGGATGCGTTCTGCCCAGCGGTGGCGATGATGGCCTCCCAGGAGGCCCTACAAGGCGAGCAGGAGGAAAGGGTGGGGGTCAATGCCCTGGCAGGAGGGGCACGGGTGTTCCTCATCTTTCTCCTCCTCCTCCCCTCCTCCTACTCCTCCTCCTCCTCCTCCTCCTCCTCCTCCTCCTCCTCCTCCTCCTCTCCTCCTCTCCTCCTCCCTCCTCCTCCTCCTCCTCCTCCTCCTCCTCCTCCTCCTCCTCCTCCTCCTCCTCCTCCTTCCCCCCCTCCTCCTGACCGTTCTCTCTACTGGCTAGAGGTGGGGACATGTTCCGAGGTGGCACGCACGGGCTTCTCTCCGCCGGCGGGCGCAAGAAGCCAGGCGCGCGCGCGCGGAGCGCCCAGGCGCTCAGCGCGCGCCCAGCGCGCGCGCGCGCGCCGCCGCCACCGCAGTCCGCGGCCTCGCCCCTGCGTCCGCCGACGCCTCTGGCAGCACGCGCCCCCAGCGTCCTCCTCGTCCTCCTCGTCCTCGTCCTCCTCCCCATCATCACCACCACCACCACCACCACCACCACCATCATCATCATCATCATCATCATCATCATCATCATCATCATCATCAGCATCATCATCATCATCATCATCATCATCATCATCATCATCATCTTCTCATCATCATCATCATCATCATCATCATCATCATCATCATCATCATCATCATCATCATCATCATCATCATCATCATCATCATCATCATCATCATCATCATCAGCATCAGCATCAGCATCATCATCATCATCATCATCATCATCATCATCATCATCATCATCATCATCTATCATCATCATCATCATCTTCATCGTTATCATCCTCATCCTCATCCTCATCCTCATCCTCATCCTTATCCTCATCCTCATCATCATCATCGTCATCATCTCATCATCATCATCGTCATCATCGTCAATCATCAGCAGCAGCATCATCATCATCATCATCATCTTCAGCAGCATCATCATCATCATCATCAGCATCATCACCACCACCACCACCACCACCACCACCACCACCACCATCATCATCATCATCATCATCATCATCATCATCATCATCATCATCTCACCACCATCACCACCACCACCACCATCGCGGCCGCCAGGCCTCCCCAAGCATGTCTGACGAGGGCGAAGCCTGCAGAACACACGCCCCCCTTCACGTGCAGTTGTCAGGCATGCGGCATGTGAAGGCGAAAGGCGCGCTGGCCTGTCCAGCTGAGGGCAGATGGACTTCTACTAGCGAGAATCGCGCACCGCTGCAAGCTGGCGCCACTATCGACGGAAGCAACTTCGACAATATCGCAGTACAGATGCAGTTGAGCACTCTTACTGTCGAGCCACTCGCCACGTGCGTCGGCAGAGCAAGGCATGCTGGAAAATGGTCCTGGCGCGTGGAGGAATTACACGACGACGGACGTGGGTGAAGCGACAGGAAGTGGTCAATGACCAGCAACTTGCGTGGCCAGTCAGGCCCCAGCGACGGCCCTGGTGGACGCGCTTGCCACCCAGCAGGTGATCAGTGGAGAATATGCGACACCCTCCATCATGTCCGACGGCCTGCATGGCTACCGAAGCCCCGACAACAACCAACAAGCGGCTTCATTATATGATCCGCGCGATGTACTTAGTCCCACCAGCCTTCTGGGCGTGAGTGGTTTAGAAAGTTTCCACTTCCAACCACCTTCTTCCTCTTCGGGGGGTCATCCTTCCCTACCCGCTACCCCTGGACCAGGACGGGGCGCCCCGCGACCGAGTGAAGCGTGCAAGATTGCCCAAAATGGCTACAACCGGTCTCAGTGAGCCGAAGATGACCTCCAAGATGGCTCAAGATAGCTCAAGGTGGCGGCCAACATAAGAAGCCCCAAGACAGCCCCGAGACGGGTCCAAGTGTACACGGGTTCTCCCAAGGAAGCCACCAAGAAGTCATAACCCGTCAACAAATCGAAGGACAATCAGTGTTGAGTTCCTTCTCACCTTCTCGCTTTCGACGGCCATACGAGGTATCAAGGCTTGCCCGACAAGGCCCAAGACAGCTGCAAGAGGAGCCCAAGAGGGTCCCAAGACGGCCCCAAGAGCGCCCAAGAGCGCTCCAAGAAGGGTCCAAGAGGCGATTTCCCAGGCTCTCGATGGGGTGGGGGGCATAATCCCACCAGCCCTGTGGGCGCAGGTGGTATAGGGCGTTTCCTTTTCCAACCTCCTTCCTTTCCCTGCTTGGGGGGTTTACCTCCCCCCCCCTCCATGCGTTTGGACGGGGGGAACCCGACCCATGGCAGCGTCCAAGATGGCCCAAGATGGCTCCAAGAGGGCCCCAGACACCAAGATGGCCTCCATGATGGCCCAAGATAGCGGCATCTGGGTCAAGATAGCCTCCGACACACGTCCAAGAGGCCTCCAGACGGCCCCAGACGGTTTCAAGTGCCCTGGGAGGCCTCCAAGGACCCTCTCAAGAGGCCAAAATCATTCGAAAAACGAGGGAAAATCGATGTTGTTTGTCTTCTCACTGTTTCGCCGCCGGTGGGCTCTTGAGGCCTCAAGATGGCCCCAAGACGGCCCAAGATAGCCCCAAGAGGGGTCCAAGAGGGCCCCGAGTGACGGCCCAAAGAGCGCCCAAGAGCGCTCCAAGAGCGGTCCAAAAGGGCCCCGAGACGGCCCCAAGACGGCATTTTTGAGCCTCCGAGGGGGGTGCAGGAATTAAGGACCCCCCTCTTTTTTAGCGAAATGGTCCACCACTGCCCCAAGAGGCCCCTTTGGCATCCCAAAAGAGCCGCAAGAAGGCCCCCAGACCCCCCAAAAGAGCCCAAGAGGGCCCCAAGACGCCCCAAAAGAGCCCCAAGAGGGCTCCAAGAAGGCCCTACGAGGACCTCAAGAGAGCCCCAAGAGCGAGCTCCAGGAGGACCCCAAGAGGGCCCCGAGAGAACCCCAAGAGAGCCCCAAAATGGCTCCAAGTTTCGAAACGCACGCGAGCTTAAGATACAAATCAGTGCAACAGCCAGTACGAGTCATCGAAACACCCCTCACCCCCCGTGGAAGCATCGTCGTAGCCTGCACCGATTTACATCTTAAACGTCCATGCGGAAAGCTCTTTGTGATCCTTGTTTTCCCGAAGAGGCTGCGCAACTGCATGCGTCCTGCCGCCCCTGATCGTACGGCCAGCCGGGTGGCCAGCCTGACTGCCAGCCCCGCGGCCAGCCCGGCGGCCAGCACCACGGCCAGCCGGCTACCAGCCCCACGGCCAACCCCACGGCCAACCCGACCGCCAGCCCCACGGCCAGCCCGACGGCCAGCCCGACTGCCAGCCCCACGGCCAGCCCGACGGCCAGCCCGACTGCCAGCCCCACGGCCAGTCCCACGGCCAGCCTGGCCAGCCCCGCGGCCAGCTGGACGGCCCCATGGCCAGCCCGACTGCCAGCCCCGCGGCCAGCCCGGCGGCCAGCCCGACGGCCAGCCCGACTGCCAGCCCAACGGCCAGCCCCACGGCCAACCCGACTGCCAGCCCCACGGCCAGCCCGACGGCCAGCCCGACTGCCGGCCCCGCGGCCAGCCCGACTGCCAACCCAACGGCCAGCCCCACGGCCAGCCTGGCGGCCAGCCCGACGGGCAGCCCGACTGCCAGCCCCACGGCCTGGCCGGCTGCCAGCCCCACGGCCCGCCTGACGGCCAGCCCCACGGCCAGCCCGCCCCGTGGCCAGCCCAGCCCGACTGCCAGCCCCACGGCCAGCCCCACGGCCAGCCCCACGGCCAGCCCTACGGCCGGCCCGACGGCCAGCTCGACTGCCAACCCCACGGCCAAGCCCGCGGCCAGGCCGGCCAGCCCCATGGCCAGCCGGACGGACAGCCCGACGGCCAGCCTGACAGCCAGCCCCACGGCCAGACCCACGGCAAGCCCGACTGCCAGCCCCACGGCCAGCCCTCCGGCCAACCCGACAGCCAGGCCCACGGCCAGCCTGACGGCCAGCCCGACTGCCAGCCCCACGGCCGGCCCCACGGTCAGCCCGACTTCCAGCCCCACGGCCAGCCCCACGGCCACCCACACGAGCAGCCCCACGGCCAGTCCCACGGCCAGCCCGACTTCCAGCCCCACGGCCAGCCCCACGGCCAGCCCCACGGCCAGCCCCACGGCCAGCCCGACCGACAGCCCCACGGCCAGCCCGACTCAATCCCGTGGCCAGCCCCAAGGCCAGCCCTACGGCCAGTCCCACGGCTGGTCCCACGGCCAGCCCGACGGCCTGCCCCACGGCCAGCCCGACGGCCAGCCCGACGACCAGCCCGGCTGCCAGCCCCACGGCCTGGCCGGCTGCCAGCCCAAAGACCCGCCTGACGACCAACCTGACTGCCAGCCCCTTGGCCAGCCCTGCGGCCATTCTGACGGCCAGGCCCACTTCCAGCCCGACGGCCAGCCCCGCGACCACCCCTACAGCAAGCCCCACGGCCGGTCTCACGGCCAGCCCGACCGCCAGCCCAACGGCCAGCCCGACTGCCAGCCCCGCGACTAGTCCGACGGCCAGCCCGACTGCCAGCCCGACGGCCAGCCCCACGGCCAGCCAAACAGCCAGCCCCACGGCCAGTCCCATGGCCAGCTCCACGGCCAGCCCCACGACCAGTCTGACGCCTCACCCGACACCGCTCCCGACGCCCAACCTGACGCCCTAACCAACACTCTCTCGTGGGCCTTGCCTGACGCCCAGTCCCACGGCCAGCCCCGCGGCCAGTCCGACGGCCAACCCGACGGCCAGCCCGACAGTGAAGCCACCAGACGGCACTGAGAAGTCCCACAGCGCCCACGCGTCCTCCTTGCCTGGACGAGCGGGACAGCGAAGCCATCCTCCAGCTGGTTTCCAGGAGCCCTTTCGCTCCTATTCGTCCTCCTTCCCCTGCGAGCGACTCGACGCGGGCGGGCGCCTCGACGAGCAGACACGGGGCAACCCCTGCATCCCCGCAAAGCGCGCCAGACCCCCCCCCCCCTCTCTGGTGAGGATGTGATCTCGACCGCCGAGGCGGGCCGGCAACCCGACCGGGGCGCATCCGCGGCGCGTCGGATGGGAAGCGGGCGGACGCCCAGTCTGTTCGCCGATCGCCAGCAGCCAGGACAACGGGACTCCAACACTGGAAGGCTGCTCTAGAAAGCCCAGGTCCACGACTCCCAATGGGAACCACACATGGTGTCACCAAACGAGACGATCAGGCACCTTCAGGTCACCATGGGCGCGGCGTTCACAGCCGTCTGCCCCTGGCACCACGCGCGCTTTCCGCCGCGAGATGGCCGGGATCTCGTAGGCGCCGGAAGTGGCCGCACACTGAAGAGTGGGATTGCTCTCGGGCGAGGTCGGGCCCTTGACGTCGAAAACGTGGCCGTTTGCCTCCACCCCAGTGACGACGGCGTCGGCGTGCCGTTCCCCCATCGCACGACTGTCAGGCGCCTCTCACCTCGCCCGCCCCATCGGGGTTGCTCCCTTACCACCACGCGGCCGTCAATCGCCCCCTTTCCGCGTCTGCCCGCTGCATTCCCCCAGCCCCCCCCCCGCCCGCCCCTTGGCCCCCGTCCCCCACGGTTACGCTGCTCCACTTCGCGGCGATCTGCCGCTTTCCCCCTGTCCGCCCCCCGCCCGCCCCCTGGCCCCCGCCCTCCGCGCCCGCCCCCTGCGCGTCTCAAATGCCGTGCGACCGTCAATCGCTCCAACGGCTTGCTCGAGCGTGACCAGCAGCACAACTGCATCGTCCACCACCGGGCGCCCCGTGCATCGTCGTCTGCAGCACACCGCGGACGACCAACAGAGAGACCTCGAGCAGCACGGTCACGACCAGCACAGTCTTGTGGCCGCAGTACGAGCAGCCCCAGCAGCACGACGGCCAGCTCGAATGTGACCAGCAGCACAATGGCAGCGCCCACCACCCTGGCCCCCCTGCATCGCTGCCTGCAGCACGCCTCAGACGACCAGCAGCGCGACCCGAGCAGCAGGGTCGCAACCAGCACGCCCAAGCGCAGCGCGACGTTCACGGCCCTCCACGGCGGGCCCCACGACGACGGTGAGCAGTACCGCGAGCGTGGACGCGGCGAGCAGCGCACGTCGAACAGCACGATGTCCCGTGCGACACAGTCGAGCAGCACCACGCCGGCCAGCACTACGGAGAGCAGCGGCACGACGCTGACGGCATCGACAGGGTCATTCACTACCGCGCCGCCCGGGGCAAGGTTGTCGACGGCGAGTGCGAGCGGCTCCCGCGGCGCGACGGCCAGCTCGAGTGCGACCCGCCGCGCAACTACATTACCCACCACCTCGACTTCCAGTGCATCGTTGTCTTGCAGCACGTCTCAGGCGATCGCCAGAGCGTCCTCGAGAAGCACGGCCACGGCCAGTACGGACTCGAGCTATGCGACCTCCACAGTCACCTCCACGGTGAGCTCCACGACGACAGTGAGCAGCAGCGTGAACGAGGTTAAAACGTGCAGTACAATGTCGAGCAGTACGTTTTCGAGCGCGACACTATCGAGCAGCCCAACGGCTGCCTGCACAAAGATGAGAAGCGGCACGACGCTGACATATACGACAAGGTCATTCAGACCAGGCGGACCGAGACGAGCTCATCGGCTAGTCTTAGCGGTACCAGCGGCACGACGGCCAGCACAACTGCATCGCCCATCACCTTGACCCTTGCATCGTCGCCTAGCAGCACGCCTCAGGCGACCAGCAGTGCGTCCTCGAGCAGCACGGTCATGACCAGGACGGCCTCGAGCAGCGCGCCGTCAACGGCCCACAACGACATCGTGCTGCTGCGTGTGCGTGGCGCGACGAGCAACGCAACGTCGTGCCGCACGACTTCGAGTGCGACACAGTCTAGCAGTACCACGCCTGCCAGCACTCTGGTGAGCAGCGACACGACGCTGACGGATACGTCAAGGTCATTCCATACCACGGTGACCGGACGAGTACGGCAACGACTAGTACGAGCGGCACCAGCAGCACGACGGCTAGTTCGAGCGCGACCAGCAACAACTGCATCGTCCACCACCTGGACCTCCAGCGCACCGTTGTCTTGCAGTACGTCTCAGACGACCAGCAGTGAGACCTCGAGCAGCACTGTCACGACCCGCACGGCCTCGAGCATGGACGTCCACAGCCACTTCCGCGACAGGCCCCACGGCGCCACACAGCAGCAGCGCGATCGGACTCGAGACGAGCAGCGCAACGTCCAGCAGTACGAGCTCGTGTGCGACACAGTCGAGCAGCACCACGCCAGCCGGTACTACGGCGAACAGCGGCACGACGCTGACGGAAACGACAGGGTCACTCAATCCCAGGCTGAGCGAGACGCGCTCTTCTATGGCCACCACGAGCGGCACGAGCAGCACGGCGGCGAGCTCGAGCGCATCCAGCAACAACTACGTTGTCCGCAGCTGGACTCCCAGTGCACCGATGTCTTGCAGTACGTGTCACATGACCAACAGAGCGACATCGAGCTGCACGGTCACAACTAGCACGGTCTCGTCTAGTGGGACGTCCACGGCCACTTCCACGGTGAGCTCCACGTCGCCATTGAGCCGCAGCGTGAGCTTGGACGAGTTGGGCAGCGCAACGACTAGCAGCACGACTTCGAGCGCGACAGTGTCAAGCACCACCGCCCGGCCAGCACCACAGCGAGCACTGGCACGACGCGGACGGACACGACAAGGTCATTCATGCCACGCTGGCCGAGACGCGTCCTCGACGGCTAGCACGAGCGGCACCATGGGTCGACTGCCTACTCGAGCGTGGCCAGCAGCACAACTGCATCCTCCACCACCTTGCTTCCAGTGCTTCGTTGTCTAGCAGCACGCTTCAGACGACCAACAGTGCGACCTCGGGCAGCACGGCCACGACCAGTAGGGTCTTTCTTGAACAGTGCGACGCCCACAGCCACTCCCACAACCACATTGAGCAGCACCGCGTGCGTGGTCGCGACGAGCAGCGCAACTTCGATCTGCACGACTTCGCGCGGGACACGGTCGAGCAGCACCACGCTAGCCAGCACCGCGGTGATCAGCGGCACAACGCTGGCGGACACGACAGGGGCATTCAATACCACGCGGCCCGGGGCGCGGTCTCTAACGGCCAGCACGAGCGGCTCCAACAGCACGACGGCCTGCTCTGGCGTGACCTGCCGCACAACTGCATTGCCCACCACCGTGGCCTCCAGTGCATCTCGTCTAGCAGAATGTCGCAGGCGATCAGCGGCGCGCCATCGAGCAGCACGGACACGCACAATACGGCCTCGAGCAACACGACATCCACATTCACCTCCTCGGCGAGATCCACGACGACAAAGAGCAACAGCGCGTGCGAGGTTGAAGCGAGCAGCACAAGTCGAGCAGCGCGTGTTCGAGCGCGACACCATCGAGCAGCACCATGCCCGACACCATCGAGCAGCACCATGCCGGCCAGCTATACGATGAGCAGCGGCATGTCGCTGGCGAATACGACAAGGTCACGCAACACCACGCGTGACCAGCAACGCAACTGCATCGTCCACCACCTCGGCCCCCAGTGCACCGTTGTCTCGCAGTACGCCTCAGCTGACCGCAGCGCGACCTCGAGCAGCACGGTCGCGACCAGTACGACCTCGAGTAGCGCGACGTCCACGGCCACTTTCACAACTACATTAAGCAGCCGCGCGAGCGCGGTGGCGACGAGCAGCGCAACTGCGAGCTGCACGACCTCGATTGCGACACTATCGAGCAGCATCACACCAGTTAATTCCAAGGTGAGCCGCAGCAGCACGACGCTGACGGACACGTCAGGGACATCCAATACCACGCTGACCGAGATGAGTACTCCGACGGTTTGTACGAGCGGCGCCAGCAGCACGACGGTTAGTTCGAGCGTGTCCAGCTGCACAACAGCGTAGTTCACCACCTGGACTTCCAGTGCCCCGTTGTCCAGCAATACGTCTCAAGTGACCACGGTGCGGCCCTGGGCAGCACGGTCGAGACCAGTACGGTTTCGAGCAAAGTGGCGCCCACGGCCACTTCCACGGTGGGCCCCACGTCGATATTAAGTAACCGCGTGCGCGGGGTCCAGACGAGCTGCGCAACCTCGAGCAGTACGATTACGAGCGCAACACAGCTTTGCAGCACTACGTCGCGCCAGCACAAGGGCGGGCAGCGGCGCGACGCTGACGGGCACGGTAGGTCTTCATAACATGGTGACCGAGGCGCAATCTTCGACGGCCCGCGCGAGCGGCACCAGCAGCGCGACGGCTAGCTCGAGCAGGGCCAGCAGCACAACTGCAATGACCGCAGCTTGATTTCCAATGCTTCGCTGCATCAACGGAGCGACCTCGAGCAGCATGGCCGCGACCAGCACGGCCCCGAACACCGCAATGTCCACGGCAACCTCCACGGCGAGCTCCACACCACATCGGGCTCTAGCGCGGGCGTCGTCGAGTCGGACAGCGCAACGCCGAGCAATACGATTTCGAGTGCGACACAATCGAGCAGCCCCGTCCGGCCAGCACATGGTGGACAGTGGCACGACGGCAACGGTTCACCAAGTTCTTGGCGCACCGCGCTGTCCGGGACGAGTTCCGACGGCCAGTGCGACTGGCACCGGCAGCACGACGACCAGCTCAAGCGCGGCCAGTAGTACAACTGCATCTTCCCCCCCCTCGGCATCCAGTTTTTCGCTGTCTTGCAATATTTTCAGACGACCTGCAGTGCGACCTCGGGCCCCCCCCAAGTCTCCCCTGGTCTCTGGTGCCCCCCCCCCACGCGCTCTGCACCCCCCGCCACCCCCCCCCCCCCGGGCCCGCGGGTGCCCCAGAGCCCCCCCCCCCCGGCCAGCCACTGACCTACGGGCGGCGGGGTATGGAAAACGCCCCGCGTGCATCTGCCCGATCGATCTGGCTCGGACCCCTGTACACTTCTGCAGCTGTTAGCTGCGCTCTGCGCCCCCCCCCCCCACGGGGCCGGCCGTCGGACCCCGTTCGGAGATCGATCGACCAGAAAGAGGTTTCTCAACCGTTTCAGCGGCTGTTAGCAGCTCCTCAGCTGCGCCTCGATCCGATCATCTAGCACGAACCTCCGCGACACTCCCATCTTGCCAGGCATCAGTTACTTCATGCCATCCTGCGGCTGTTTGCTGTACCCCCGCCGAGCTCGGCACGACCGCACGCGGGGGCCCCTTGCAGCGGCTCTCCAGCACGCCGCCCAGCCGGGGCGGGCTCGGCGACCCCCCCCACCTCTCGGGGCGGCGGGCCGCGGCGAGTTGTCGGCCGGCCCCGCAGGCCCCCCCCATGCCTCAGGAGGCCCCCCCCCCTCAGTGCTCAGCCCACCCACCCACCATCGGGCCCTGCGGCGCCTCCCGAGCCCCCCCCCCCCCCCTGCAGGCCCCTGTACTACGCGGGCGACTGCGAGGGAAGGCGCCCG